GGTCAAGGAGTTCCCAAGGCCATCAACGAAAGAAGGAAGTTCGGGCCTTCCTCGGCCTGACAGGATACTATCGGCGGTTTATTCCCCAGTATGCAGACCTCGCAGCACCTCTCACTGACCTGACGGGCAGCAGGAAGCCACAGGTGGTCGAATGGACCGACGTGTGTGAGGAGGCATTCCAGGTGTTGAAGGGAAAGTTGTGCGACTACCCGGTATTACAGAGCCCGGACTTTGAGCGTCCATTCGTGTTGCACACTGACGCATCTGAACGCGGCATCGGAGCGGTACTGAGCCAGATGGCTGGGAATGGAGAAGAACACCCGGTGGTGTACACCAGTAGGAAGCTCCTACCCCGGGAGCAGAATTATTCCGTACCCGAGAAAGAATGCCTGGCGATCAAATACGCCGTGGAAAACCTGCGCTACTACCTACTGGGCCGGGAGTTCGAGGTGGTGACAGATCACCACCCCTTGAAGTGGCTTGATGAAATGAAAGACAAGAATCAACGCCTGACGCGATGGAGCTTGTGTCTGCAGCCCTACCGATTCACGGTGACTACACCGGGCGGGGCAAGGCCCATGGAAATGCAGATGCACTGTCCCGAGCTTGAGACACAAACCTAGGAGTTGTTACCAATCGTTCGAAGTTGGAACACTTTTTAGTCAAGTTATTCTGTTCCTGTGAACATTATTAAGAGTTAGCGGTGTCTAATTCGGAAAGGACTGACAACCATGGAGACTTTAGTGAAATATAGAGATATAGTTGAGATGCATGCCCAAGTAGTATCCGTTCTTTTTTTGAGTTGTGTATAATGCATGTGGACCACCGGACCAGTAATACGACGATGTGGATTGTAATTAATGAGGACCTAGAGTTTAGAATGGTGATTGAAATGAGTGTTTCAATCAGAAGAAACGGGAGCAAATGTGATGGGATCCAATCGTTTGTACCAGTTTGGCCCAAGAATGTGAAGGCGAGGTCAGTCTAGAGTGGAGACCTAGAGAGGGAGGTCCTGGTGGTGGCTGTCTTAGGATAGGAAGTTGATTAAACAGTTAAAGTTCGGACTCTGTGACTCGGCTCATCATCTGACACATGCCAAAAACAATACCTCCATTTTTCATGGAGGTAATAAAAGAACATAGTGTAGCAACAAATGAAAACTGCAATAGATATCGCCCTGTTTTGATCCTTTCCTTTCATCACATCTTCTCTTATTACATTTTGCGGCACTGCCGTGACACTCTGATCATAATGCAGTAAGCAGAATTTTTGGTAACGGTTTTTTTTTTAGTCCAAAATCAAATACTTTAGTATCTTGGGGGGGGGGGCTCGTCACTGAATGACATCCAGTAAATTTCTAGCGGAGACCAATCAGAGGGCTGCTGAATAATTTGAATAATTTATCAAGGCCAACGGACGCGGTTCTTTCACTTGTAAAGTAGCCAATTACCACCGAGCCGGTGGCACACGATGGGCGAAAACATGTATTTCACACCCATTGTACGTCGACATAAAGCGCTTATACATTACAAACAGAATTTTCGTAGGACTGCCATTACTTTAGTTTGCAGCATGTGTATTGAGAACGAGTATCTTCATAATTCTGCTGGCTGTTTGTAGAAGAACGGCACAATAAAACAGTTTTCAATACCAACACGACTTAGCAGATAACACGTAATGAAGCCCACTTTTTACGCAGATTGTAGCACTACGTAATGTTACACAAACTAACAGTAGATGTTTAAGGAATTCACAGAAATG